GGTCCCCACTATCCTTCCAGTTTTTAATAATGCGTTGGACGGTTCTTAACCCAATTTTAGTAGTTTCTGCAATCTCCTTAGATGTTTTCTCTGCTTGATGCATGCCAATGATTTGACCCTTCTCAAACAGACTAACATCTTTTCCACGACCATGGGATGTGTCTTTCGACGTGGTTGTTTAGGAAATGAGAAGCAACTCATTGCACCAGTTGGGGTTAAATAACTTGTTGCCAGCTGAAAGATAATCGCCCATGCAGTAATTATCCAATAGGAGGCTCCTACCTATTTGCTTCGTTAAATCTAGGCAGTGTATATATCTTCTTCTTTCGACTTTGTCCATTTTTTCAGAATGGATCTGCGTGTCCTCCCTCACTGCATCCATATATCTCCTCTTTGGCCTTCCTCTTTGTCTCCCACCTGGTAGCTCCAGCTCTAACATTCTTCTACCAATGTATCCACTGTCCCTCCTCTGCACATGTCCAAACCATCTCAATCTGGCTTCTCTAGCTTTTGAATTGAATTGACACCAGAATACTTTTCTACTTTTCCTACCTATTTGCTTCGTTAAATCTAGGCAGTGTATATATCTTCTTCTTTCGACTTTGTCCATTTTTTCAGAATGGCCTCCTTCACTCAAGGTTACAAGTGTTTTCCCTGGACTGATCCGGTACAAACACGGCAGCGTGGCTGCACAGGGAGTCTGTTCACCTGCTGGTGTGGACGACTGCTGCACCTGAGCAAGGCACTTCCACCAGGCATCGATAACAAAGATCAATAACTATTGAAGTCTTTAGGATTCACTGAATCAAGTGAATGTGGATATTTGTCCCATATTATCTGGGACAAATATGGAACATATTCAGTTAATTCACTGAATCATACACAGGCAGATCAAGGCAGTTTTGATGAACACACTGTAATATATCTATACACATATATATATATATTACATACATACATCTGTGAGACAAAAAGTACACATTTATGGAGTATATATATATATATACTGTATATATATATATATACAGTATATATATATATATATATATAGTCACTATTTCTGTGGTACGAATATATACATTGATTCATATGGTAGTATGGATATTGTTCATATGCGGTTAGACTTACCTAGTTTGTAGGTCAGGACATACAGGACAGTCCATGGTGTTCCTGGCACAGCTAGCATCTTCCTCCACACCCTCCAGGGCCTGACAGCATCTGATCCCTGCCCATTTCTTTTGCTGTTATCAACCTGTGGGCCTCTTACAGTCTCTTCATCCAGGATAGGGGCCCCCCACACAAACAGGGCTACACCGGCATACACGAATGTCAGCAGCAAGAACATCCAGCTCCATCCAGCCACATCAATCACAGCAAGCAATCCGCCTCCTGCAAACACTGATCCAGCTTTGTAGCCCACTACTTGGGCTGTATTGCCTAGTCCCAGTTCCCCTCGTCCTTTTAACAGACCCACAGCAGCCCCATCTACCGCAATATCCTGGACGGAGGCCAGAGTGTTCATGGCCAACAGGGTTCCCGCTACACCCCAGATATGAGCTTCTGGAGCTAAAGCAGCACTGCAGAGACATGTGAGAGCCAGACCTGATACTGTGCAAACAAGCCAATGACGCTTGGTGCTGAGCCGGTCCACTAGAGGTGCCCAAAGCACCTTCAGGACCCATGGGAAGTACAGAATCTTAGTAAAGCCAATGCGAGTTAGGGAGTGACCGGCTCCTCGCAGGTAAACAGGAAGCAGCGAGGACTGGAGGCCATAAGGAATTCCCTGAACAAAGTAGAGCAAACCCAAAAAGACCAGTTTGTCATTCATGATCTACATCCAAAATTGGCACTGCGTCTTAATGAGTAGACTCTGAAGCTGTCCATAGATTAGGTCACTGTACTGACAAAATCATCCTTTTATGAACCAAATGAATAGGTCATCTGAAATGCAAATAACAGTATGGTCAGAAACACATATTAAAACTTGGGGAAATTAAAATCCATGCACGTATTGAACCAAGTTTTAATTTGCTTTGGTTTTGACTCCAGTAATAATAATATAATAATAAAAGTTGACATACAGTGGTATGAAAAAGTTTGATCATCAGACCCCTGATCATTTTCAAGATTTTCTTTTATGGATCATTGGTTTTTCGGAACAGCAATTACAATTAAATATATCATATAGCAAACAAACACAGTGATATTTAAGAAGTGAAATGAAGTTTATAGGATTTACAGCAAGAGTGCAATAATTACTTAAACAAAAGTAGGCAGGTGCATAAATTTGGGCAACCCAACAGAAAAATTACATCAATATTTAGTAGATCCTCCTTTTGCAGAAATAACAGCCTCTAAACACTTCCTATAGCTTCCAATGAGGGTCTGGATTCTGGTTGAAGGTATTTTTGACCGTTCTTCTTTACAAAACATCTCAGTTAAGTCAGGTTTGATGGTTTCCGAGCATGGACAGCCCGCTTTAAAACGGACCACAGATTTTCAATGATATTCAGGTCTGGGGACTGAGATGGCCATTCCAGAACGTTGTACTTGTTCCTCTGCATGAATGCTTTGGTAGAATTTGAGCGGTGTTTAGGGTCGTTGCCTTGTTGAAGTATCCAGCCCCGGCGCAACTTCAACTTTATCACATTGTTTGCAAGAATTTGCTGATACTGACTTCAACTTTAACAAGATTGCCAGTACCTGCACTGGCCACACAGCCACACAGCATGATGGAACCACCACCAAATTTGACTGTGGGTAGCAAGTGTTGGTCTTGGAATGCTGTGTTGTTCTTCCACCATGTATACCGCCCCTTGTTATGTCCAAATAACTCAATTTTAGTTTCATCAGTCCACAGCACCTTATTCCAAAATGAAACTGGCTTGTCCAAATGTGCTTTGCAAAGTGCGCTGAATAGTTGAACGATGCACAGTGAAGCCATCTGCAGCAAGATCATGTTGTAGGTCTTTGGAACTGGTCTGTGGGTTGAGTTTGACTGTTCTCACCATCCTTCGCCTCTGCTTATCTGAGATTTTTCTTGGCCTGCCACTACGGCCTTAACTAGAACTGTGCCTGTGGTCTTCCATTTCCTCACTATGTTCGTTACAGTGGAAACTGACAGCTGAAATCTCTGAGCTAGCTTTTTGTATCCTTCCCCTAAACCATGATGTTGAACAATCGTTGTTTTCAGGTCATTTGACTGTTGTTTTGAGGCTCCCATGTTGCCAGTCTTCAGAGAAGATGCAAAGGGGAGAACAACCTGCAACTGACCTTAAATACCCTTTCTCATGATTGGCTTCACCTGTGTATGTAGGTCAAGGGTCAGTGAGCTTACCAAACAAATGTTGTGTTCCAATAATTAGTGCAATAAGGTATTGAAATCAATAAAACAACAAAGGTGCCCAAATGTATGCACCTGCCTACTTTTGTTTAAGTAATTATTGCACACTTTCTGTAAATCCTATAAACTTCATTTCACTTCTTAAATATCACTGTATTTGTTTGCTTTATGATATATTTAATTGAAATTGCTGTTCCGAACAACCAATGATACATAAAGGAAAATCTTGAAAATGATCAGGGGTGCCCTAACTTTTTCATACCACTGTAACTCCAGTACAACAGGACGACTACCAAAACCTGGCTCAGAATTGCTAGTTACTCTACACCTGAATGGTTTGTGCACAATATTTATGTGAAGCATCCTACTGTATTAAATATTAATGTTAATCTTAATAAGAAACCGTAAAGGAAGTTTATCTTATTCTTGTCATGATTTTTTTGAATCCACACAAAACAGAATTAACGCAGCTCTGACGGTGAAGAAGCTCAATCCAGCGTTATTGTTAAAATCATTTATACATCCGAAAACAAATAACTGGTTACTGATTCGATATAAATAATAAGCTTTAATTTTTTCTCTCGTTGGAAGTTTAATATTTGTTTAAAAAACGTCAAGTCTGACTCCTTGCATCAGCTAAGCTAATGATAGCCGCTACCTTCTACGATAATAAAACTATTGGCTGGATTTTTAAACATATGTAAAGCCGAAGCGACATCTTCTTTAACGTAAACGTATGGACTATTAATAATTCTCAATTTGTGAAAGTCATCACCTCTTCTGGCTCTAGTTCTGGAGCTTACACTATCTTATTACACCATGCCTTATTTAGCCTTGGTCGCTCATCAGTCTGCATGTGTGATGTTTAACACGGCATGCATATACTTAATATATATTTTAATGACATAAAAACAATGGCTGGCGCAATTTAGAGAGTAAAATGTTACGATGACACAAGCTAAAGGGCTAACCTGAGACCGCTGGCTCGTGTACTTCCGCTACTGCTTGTTTCTTCTTCGTTGATTCGACGTGACGTGTTTTGGCAGGAAATGCAATAACGTTTTCAAACGGGTCGACTTATAGCTAAACCTCAGCGCCATCTACTGGAATTGGTGTAAAAAGTGTAGCGTATAGAATTTTTTTTTTTATCAAACTTTTGAATGTTAAATAAAATAATAAACCTAAATGTTATTTGTTTGCTTCATGTGAATGCTGTTTGATAAATGATGAAACTGTTGATGAAACCATGTCTTATTGCATCTACGGTGTATCTACTAGTGTGTGGGGTCAACACCCCATACATTAATATATCTGCTGGAACTGCAATAGATATAGTAATAAATATACATATACATACCATAAAGACAATGTGGTATACTTAGTGTACATGCATGTTTGTGTGTGTGTTTGTGTGTGTGTGTATGTATGTATCTATGTATATATATGTGCTGTATGTATGTATTAATATATGTATGCAGTGGTTAACAATGGTATAATTGAAATATAATAACAATGGAGATTGCAATCAACAACACCACACACGGCAACAATAATTACCTACTAATGTATTAATACCACTAACACTACCTATCTACTTCTACTAACCTACTAATCCACTAACTTTAACTCTAACTAACTATGATGTCTTATTTCTTTGTTCTATTACAAGTTAAAGAAATACACATAACGGTTGTAACTAACTTGCAGATTTCCTGGTTATACAGTAGATATGTTTGTCTTGTTCTTTGGAAACACCAATAGCATATTTCTCTATGTTTAACCTGTTTAACCTGTTTTTGACACTGAAACATTGTTTGAATGAAAAATGGTTAAAGTCCACCTTCAAGTAACAACAGAAACACTGATTTTGCAAAAAGTAGTAAAAGAAGACAGAGAGCACAAATTGGCCTTCAGAAAAAGTTTTTATTTGCAGAATATTTAAGCTCCTTCAGTTCTTCTGGTGATAAAGATGAGTAAACATGTTAAAGCAGCTCATGTGTAAAGACAGATACTGTCACAGAAAAATTAATGAACAGGAGTGTTGAATGTAATGGGAAAGATACTGTCTTCTAAATAAAAGTTCCATGTTAAAAATTAACTTCTAAAGGGTTAAAAGTCATTTTGCTAACAGCTAGTCTGATTGTTGATCATATCTTTGATATCACGGATCAGTCGATTTTAGTGTTCAGATCCACACAGGGCCAGCAGGATCTTCACATAGTCTCCCTTAGTGTCGTCCTAAAAAAAGAAGAGAGAACTTTCATTAACGTTCTAAAACAATTATTTAAAAAAAACACAAAGCAGTTGTGCAACATGTTTACAAGACCAAACATGATTTCCATGCAAATGTCTGTCAAATTCTACAAATAAACTGCAGCTCTGGTACAAAAGACCAAAGAGGAGACACCAGAGAGGACATCCTTCAGCATTTATTTCTTTTATAAAGCTAAAAAAAAGAAACCATTTCTCACCAGAATCTCCTGGTAGAGGGTCTTGCTGTAGTTCTTCTTGTACTCTTCTTTGATGTGTTTCATGTCAATCTCAGAGCGACTCACCATGACACGGGTCAAAATGTGTTTGCGGGTCCCTTTACCCTGGAAGACAGAACAGATTTTAGCAGGATTTAAACTCAGCCGTGCAGCAGCCAGAACACATATGGACTTCATTTCAAATCCTACTTTACCTTCATGGCCAAGTACAGCCTTTCAGCAAAGTATGCAGGTCTGCATCCAATGCACTTCACTGTGGGTTTTAAAGGGAGAGTGTCAGAGTTAAAGTGACTGGTGGAACATTCTGAATTTGTGACTACAGGTCTCTGCAAATTTATGGTTTTAAATCTAAATGCAACAGTCCTAGATATATGTAGTGGATTTATGATCAGGACCATACATGACCAAAACTTTAGGACTGAGGTCCTGAGTCTGTGGCTCCTGGGCCCCACGAGGCTCTTTAGCCCATTATCTTTGTGAAAACAGTAATATGTATGTAAATTCAATCCTAGAAACAAAAGTCATTCATGACTAACACATATTCGCCCGTGTACTGAGTAGATACCAGTGAATCTTGCAATGTCTGCAGGCACTGACATATCTGTGACAATCAGATGGTGTTTTACATAAATCCAGTTTGAGTTTACATATCAAACCTTAACTCCAAGTTTGTGAGTTACAAAATAACATACAGTAATATCACTTTCCCTGTGGTCGTCTGGGTCTTTACCTAAGGCAGTGAGGCAACTCTCGAGGTCTCCTTTCATCTCCAGGTCGATGGCTTTGGCCACGTCCACCTTACTGTACTTGGAGTATCTGTCAAACACTGCACAGGACACATAGACAGATTAAAACACAATTGGTCAGCAGTTATCGTTGAGCGTTATCAGTCAGAGGTCTCACCTCTGCGGAGATGCTGGGCACTCCTGGTGGTCAGGATCTCGATGAAGACAGAACAGTCTTTGCCCTTACGTCCCTCTCCAGCCTCATAAAGAGCTCTGGCATCACTGTCCACCAGCTGCTCGGCAACTCCTTCAGTCCTGCCAGCCTGTGATTCAGAGACAGTGGAGAATTTTAGTCTTCAGTCCATGTATGATGAAGTTTTCCAATTGTTATCTAGAACAGAATCCTAGTATAAAAAGAAATACATTGATAGTTTGGAGCCATTATTCAGTCTGCAGTGTACGTCAGTTCTCCAGGTCACTTTATCCAAAGCAGTTAAGTATAGTTATATGTTACAGGAAAAAAAGGAAGTGACCACGCCCTGACTCGAGACTGTGTCTGTAGAGACATTGGAACTCAACCAAGTGGTCATCACCGTAACAAACACCCTTTCACACACATTCTTGTCTTTATGATGCAACCACCTAGAACTATGTGAAAAATGCACTTGTTAGCACATGTTAGCATGTTTGTGTTGAGGGTGTGTGTTATCCGTGTGTCATCAGGGTGTGTCCTGTTAACACTAACAGAATGTGAAGATCCTGGATTCAGACCTGTGTGTGTGTGTGTACAACAGGTGTCACTGTAGGACAACATACACACACACCTTGCAGAGAGACAGCAGAGCAGTTCTGAAGTCCCCACTGGTGTCAGACCTGATGTCGTCCTCCAGGTCCTTCTTGTAATCTTTAATAAATAAAGAGACACTAAAATGAAGCAGGTAACTATGACAGAGTACAGAGAAAACAGTAGAACTTCAGTAACTACAGTAATGGAACCATAGTAGCAAAACTGTTGGTATTTTAGACCTTTCATGCAAAAGAACAAAAATGACACAACACAGAGAGCAGAGGCTGCGGTGACTCAGATAGTAAAACATATGATTACTTACTTGGTAGCTAAGCGTGAAAAATGCAATTATTCTTGATTTTTTTGTTGTGAAATGAACTTTTCGTTGTTGTAAGAAAATTGCTTTTGACACACTACACTACATAGAAGTAACTATAAATAGTGTGGACACCACTGGTTTGGTCATTATGTTTTTTGTGTAATTACTGTCAAGTTTGAACACTGGCTGTTCATAATGTTCCCTGACCTTCCTTGTAGGCCTTCTTGATGTCCAGAATCTCTCTGTTGGTCCTGGAGGCCAGAATCTCAATCAGAGTGTCCTCATCCGTCCCAATACCCTGAGAAAAAATGTAACATTCTTTGTTATTTAAGGATTTATTCAAGGAATGAATACTTCATCTATTCATCCAGTGTGAAAAGGTCTTTTGTTTTTATTTTTGTTTTCTCACTCTTTTCTTCTACCTTCATGGCCATTTTGAGTTGCTGAGCATCATACTGAGCCGGGGTTTTGAGCAGAGCCAGAACCACATCCTCCAGGTCTCCCTTCAGAGCAGCTTTCAGTGCGGCCTCCAGAGGCTGTGGGGAAAAGAGTTAATGTTCATTCACAGCTTTGATTTATTTTATTGTTATTATTTATTTATTATTTCATTATTTATTTATCGGGACATGTTGGTTGTTTTAGTTATTCTACTTAAATCCAACAAACAAACAACCAGAGACATTTGTTCAAGGTCCCGACAACCAGTATGTGAAGAGAAAAAATGCACCAGAATCATCCATAAACTCTGGTAAGACTTTTTGATTTACATAAACATGAGAAATGTTCTTTCATGTTTTTGCTGTCAAATTTCTATGTCCATTACTTTTCCGGTGCTCTGCTGATAAGCCTCTTTAAGCTGCTGCCTCTGCTGGTTGCTTCTCTTCACCAGGACTTCAATGATGGTGTTCTCATCCACACCTACACACACACACAAACACAGAGTATAAGAGAGAGAAACAGCCCATATTTGACAAAATACTTATTTATAATTAAATTATTTCTGGATTTATTTTATAATTTATTAAATTACACATATTAAATCAAGTTTAAATTTAAAAAAAACTTAACATACTTAATTGGCTGTGTTTCATTTTGAATTAAATTAAAATGAATTAATAAGAACTAAAAACTGGCCCTGTGCTTGGTGTCATGGTACGTGACTGCCAGGAGAGGGCGCTTAGCTCAGGCAATCATGTCTGTCAGTAGCCAAAACGTGTCCACACACGCCCCTCATTTCCACACGTTTCCTTCAGTCTTTTTACTGCTAGGTCAGTGCCCTCCAAAGTTCCTCACCTTTAGCTTTGATGGCTTTTTCCAGAGCAGCAACATCAGCACTGGGATTGAAGTTCAGAGCAGGTTTCACTGTTCCTTCGTTCTTCAGGACCTGCAGTAGGCAAACACAGAAATGTTTTATAGAAAAGTGCCTTCTGCAGCAGAGAGAAAAGTGGATAAAAGTGGTTAAAAGGTAACAGTAATGACTGATGTGATTAATGACAGTCCTATAAACAGAGACTGTAGGTTTCATCCAGAATCACTTTTTTTTATCATGATGATGTGTAAAAGTTTAAATCCTCATCTGTCTCCTTCTCGAAGCCGCAAAAAGCAGAAATAACGGTTTACTCTGATGACTCAGTTTGAAAAAGGCGGGGCAAATTGTTTTATGCTGAGGTAAAAATGATGATGTAGTCTGATTCTGTTGTCTTGCTTTAAACTGTTTCTATAATTTATTGTGAACAGTGGTGTTTTTAGTGATTATGATTGTTTAAAATGTTTAAAGGTCTCAATTTGACTCTCATGTTTTAACATCAATGACTGTCTCTTTAAGCAGCAGCAAACCACTTCTTCTCTGGCTCTGTTAGTCAAAGGCGTGGCTTAAATTCCTGCTTCTCTGAGTCACAGCACTGATGAAATTATATTTATCTCCAGAAATGAACTTTCGCTTTAGTGTCTGATCATCCCCTTCCTTTTTTCAGTCCTCCACTTGTTTAACTCCTCCTGCTCTGCGCCACCAAATCCTCACCTTTTTACTCCTACCCTCACATACACACACACACACACACCCGTCCCGTCCCATTCCTCCCCTCACATCTTTTTTCCCTAACTCCTTCCTTCATTTTAACCTCTTAACTCAGTTTTTCCACTGAAGCTAACCACAGCAAGAAGAGCAGGAAGAGGAGGAAGAGGAGGAGGCTGAGCCTCGGAGTTCAACCAATCTTAAAGCAGAGCCATAGTTACGTACAGAGTCGTCTGGCATTCCCAGATAAACTGTCTGCTGCAGGAGGGCCTGGATGAATGACATGGTGGAGCAGGAGGCTGGAGACTGGGGAAGAAAAGGGTGGAGATCAAACAGAAGGAAGAGTACAGGGAGGAGACCGTAGGAGAGAAGAGAGAGAGAATAGAATTAGTGACATCTAAAAGCCATCTTTGAACTACTGACCCAGAAACGTCTTAAACCAGGACCTTTGAACTAACCAGTAATCAGTGGATCAAATAGATTATAGATAAAAACATAATTCAAACATACATTATTATTCTGGGAAAAAAACAGTTGTCATCGCTTTAACACACCATCATACACTCCTAGTGGACAAAAACTGCTTGGTTTTGTCTTTTGCCAGTATTTTATATCAGAAGTTGGTGTAACCATTAACATTGTTTGTACTTTCTTCAAGTCCCTGACAGGAAGGTGGCGCTCTAGGCCAAAACTTAACCTTTACTTAAGATCTGATGGCAGCCCTGTGCAAGAGGTACTTCTCTGCTCAGCGCTTCCTCATACTAGTTTGTATTATCTGAAATGAAAACTCACTAAAAAAACTGAAAACATTTAGATCAGTTGATCTGAGAAGCATTTTCAGTTTATCCAGAGGAGATACTAAAGCAGAGAGCTGCAAGTCTGTGGTGAAGGTTAAAGACTAAAGATCATTCATCATGATATTCACTGTCAGAAGAGGAACAAGGACTGATCAATACAATAGTTGGTAACCAGATAAGAACAGACATCTACTGGATGTAAACCTGTGTTCTTCTGGGCACAGGCTGACCTCCCAACCCACTGACCACAGCCTCACTCAGTGACATTTGTCCTTTTTCAGAAGTTCAGCTCTGTGTCACATGGACACTGACTTTGTTCTTCAGCTGCTGATGAACTTAAACATTCTTCATACTTACTTACTTACAACAGCAAAACATGAACAAATACTGACAGACCACACCCACACAACTTATCTAAAACACATACAGAAACCCTACGGCAACCAAAGTAAATCGATAAGTAAACTACAAGAGTATGAAGTTCCAGCTCTTTCACACCACACCCTCTTCACTTACAACATCACACTTTTACCCAAACCTTCTTTAACTCTTTGTCCTAAGCTTTGTAAAAGTAAAAACTATCACAGACTGTGAAATACTTCGATTCTGATAAACAAATAATGTAGAAAACTCACCGTGTAGTTGAGATGAGAGAAAGAAGAGGCAGAGAAGTCAGAAGGAAATTCTGCAGGAGGTGAAGCACATTCACACACACACTCATTTATACACACACTACCAGAGTCCGCACCCAGTTACGTCACCAGGACCGCCCACTCTGCTGCAACTCCACACTAAGCCTCAAAGGGGCGCTCATAAAGTCAGCTGGACTGAACGCCATTATTTACGATAAAATAAAAACGTAATAAAAATTATAAAATCGGCAGCTGCACGAATGGAGTAGAAAAGAAAGAAGAAAATTAAAAAAAAAAAGAATTAAGAAAATGAGGGAAATTAAAAAATAAAAATAGTGAAATATAAAATATACTCAGGCATTAAGTTACATAAAACATTATATTTTTATAAACGAGGACTTCAGTGATACAAAACAGAGAAAAAATATAAATCTGTGAATATATAATTGTGTTTCCCTAACAAAACGTATATAAAACTTATATAAGTGAGGCAAAGAAATGAGAGGAGGAAGAGGGTGAGGCACTTGATGTTATTTCCCATAATGTTTGAGATGGAATACAGGTTAATCTCTAATCCTGGATCAGTCTAAGGCCAGGATCTTTAGGCCAGGGCTTATGTTGTTGTTTTTTGCTTCTTTTTTTCCGGGCAAAGGTTTCATAAATATTAAACATAATACCAATAATCATAATTATTATTATCTGTTTTCTGGCAGTGTAGGAGAACCAGCTGATGTTGTTAGATCATTACTGTCCCTTTTTATTAGGTTTTATTACCAATGAGGAAAAGGTAATGATTAATTGTAGTTCATAACAGTTTACTACAATTTGTATTATTGTACTTCTGCAGGCTTCAACTGTTATGTTACTTAGTTTCTGAAGTTAGCCGCAGTTAGCAGTTGCTTTACAGCAGTTTTCCACAGTTTACTGTAATTCACTGCATTCGACTCCGCTTTAACAGCAGTTAATATAAACATTATATTTTTAATACTGATGCTAATGCTAACTAAATGCTGTTCATCAGTCTCAGTTCATTGCCAGAGTAGATATTAGTACTGTACTACAGGAGTAAAGCCCGTTCCCCTCCCCTTACACAAAGTTTACCAACGTTCACATCAAACATTTACTTTCATCCTTTGTTAACTGACAGTAAATGCTTATTTGCTAATGTTTGAAAGCTAACACCTGAACAGACCCACCTGAGGTTCTCATCCAAGACCTTCAAAGTCAGTGCTATGTTTTTTTTAAACATTTGGTTCTCATTTATTGTCATGTGACTTAATAAGGTTTGATACATCACTTACACTTTACAAACATACATTAGATAACACGCTTCTCGTAAAGGGATTTGACATAACACATAACATCACAGAAAATTCACGTCCAGTTGCCTAACAGAACTTTTCAACCTTGACCATGACCTGGATGACTGAGAATCTTCATAGACATTAACACATAACCTCGACTACTGGACTAGTCTGGGCTCACAAGCTGTAATTTGGTGAACCCTCGTGAAAAGATGGTGTCTTTTATGTTGGTTGACCTGTTGTTGCTGTTGTGAACAACTTGACTCATATGTTTACATTTTTTCCGAGTGAAACCTGTTCAGCATCATAGACTGTCACGGACCAAAGATACAATAACATTCTATTTTAGTCCACTAGGCGGACATGTTGAAATAATTACTACGTAAGTAACTGGATAAATAATGTACCAACTTAAATTAACCCAACTTATCAAGATTTTATTCCAAAACTTTTTTTTTTGCGTTGTTGTTAACAGTTTATGTATCAGGTGTAAATGTTGGGATTGATTTTTTTTTTCATTAAAAGTTTATTAAGTCTGGATTTATTTATCCAAGTTTTCTTTATCACAGACATGTGGAGGAGAAATCCCGTTTTACGACTTTCTCCAAACCAAACACAGGACCAGGTCGTGGCATCAAAGACATAACCAGCAGCTGCTCCTGCTGCAGCTTCAGTGGAACCTTTCTGAAAATCACCTGCTGATGATCATTAGACCTATTTTTCTACAGAAACATTCGTAAAGCCAACTCTTTCCAACACCATCATAAGATAAATCAAAGTTTGAAAAGTTCCTGTTGTTAAAAATGTTATTGTTTAATACCTTCTCTTAAAGTGTGCTCTTTTATCTAAACACACCTTTGTTTTTTATTTGTCTTTATTATGTTCATTATAATAGTAAATACTGTTTCAAATCTTTATCAATTTAATTTATTGTTTTATACATCTACAGATTCAGGTTGAGAAAATTATCTCTAGAACAATATGGAAAATATAATTTTGTCATAGACTTTTGACATGCAGAGGCAAATAAAGAAAGATATATTTAAAGTTACCTAAATGTGACTGGCAGCAGGTTTTACTGAAATCAAGATTTAATATAGGTTTCTTGAAAACTTTTGACTTGTTTACAGTTTTTACAATTTAACAGTACTTTTTCTTGTTGCAAATCTTGTTGCTGCAATGTGTTTGTCAAAAACCTTTAATCCATCGGTTTAATACTTTGTGTGTGTGAATTTCAACCAGTTTTGTCTTTATTACAACTAAATCCTCTCATAATAATCTTGTTACATTGCTACCAGTAAAGTAAGTTTATATAACATATAACTGTAAATATCTCATATATATATGAACAGTGTGAGCTTAAATTTAACCCACAGTTATATAAGATATGACCAATAACTTACCTGGACTTTACCTGCTAACACTTACAATACCACGGTACTCGTATGCCATATTACTGTGAATATCCCATAATACACAGGTGTTTGCTAGATGGGAGCTCACGCCGACAGTGTGGTTTTATCAAAAACCACACCGTACACCTGCTGCCAACACTAATCTGAACCTGCTGTGTGTTTAAAACAGAATCAGATCTACGTACACTGACAAACCTGGCTGCTGCAGGAAGAGGATCTTGAGGGAGATCCAGAAAAGGCCAGGCTCTTCAGACACTTCAAGCAGAATCTAAGATTTTGTTGCTTTGTAGTCATATATGAAAAAAACAATGACTGTGCAAAAATACTGTGGATAAAATAGCACAATAATCGAACAGTAAAAAACATTAGCATGGGACATTTTAAAGGTACAGTAGGAAAGCACACCTGTTACAGGGTGACAGTCAATATGAGAATACAACACTATGGGAATTTATTTACTCTAGTTTTTTGGTGTTGACCCTTGTGATGGCCGGTCCTATAGCGCCTACCAGTGGGCACATGTTCGCTTCAAACCAGTGTGTGTCGTGCACTGTGCCGTAGAGATATATTGCAAATAGTTTTATGCAAAATGTTAGATTGTTTATCATCTTTGAACTTGTGACCTTGTATATGTTATGGAAATGTTTTGTGTTGACATTTCATAACAATGCTGTTTTTCATTTAATATTTATGATTCTTTATGATGAAGTTTAATATAGTCTGTGAAAACACAGGAGATGGGAGTTTATCCAGATTCCACTGCAATACATCTGGATAAATTGGCAAATTTATTAAAAGAATCTTCATAAAGAAATTAACAATAACACTGAATATCAATTAAGGGCTCTTTGATTTGTCCACCTTTGTAAAGAAATAAAACAAAAGTGACAATTCCTTAATAAACAGCAGAGGATATTAATTAACATTTGAATCAGTTTGAGGCCGAGATTGAATGAAAGAGTAAAAAATGAATAAAAGAAAACATCACTCCAGGTGTTTGAGCTGCTGCTGAAAAATGGAACATCTGCCGGAGGACCAGAAGCTCCAGCATCTGCATAATCTGAGAGATTTCAGCAGATTTGCAGATTTTCTGAAGGAAAGACACTCCCAGAATCCATCTGCTGCTGAGCTACTTCACATCTGCTGCTGGTTTAAAAAGACTCTGTTAAATCTCACGTATCAGCAAACACACACATCTTTGGATTTACATACAAATGACAAATTTGAGAACTCATCACAGAAGCAACTCAGAGATCTCAGAAAATAGTTCAGGCAGAGTTCAAAAAGACTTGATATGTTTTAATCAACACACTGACTCATTTTATTATAAATAAACAATTAACTAAGTGTAATTATTGATATTTATTTAGAACAGACCAAAATAGACTATATTATTTCACAACACAAACTGGAGAACCACAACAACAACAAAAAATACATGTTCACAATCAAAATAAAAAAGTACAAAATAACAAAATAACAACAAGAGTGGGTCAATTTTTCAGCTCATTTGAACAAGCCTTTTTCCTGCATATTTTCAAATGTGAGCACTTCCTGTTGAGGAGGAAATGATTTATGTCACTCAAAGTTTGCTTTTTTCCAAACCTCCTGAGATGAAATGTCACTCTTCATTTTCTTCATCCTGGGTCTGACTGCTCTGTCCATCACCGATGTCACTGCTGGCATCATCAGTGATGACATCACTGTGCATTCGCCTCTCTATAAATCAGACAGAAAAATCAGCTAGAGAAAATGCAAACACTCGTGGGTTAAACCAACAGAAACTCAAAAGAGAAGCAGTAAAACTTGCAATAAATATTTCTGATGTAAGACACCTCTAAGAATCTGCACTGACCGGTCAGCCCTAGTAGGTAGCAACAGCTGGTACAGCAGTGATTCTGTAGGAAGCTTTTAATGGCAGCATCTCCGAGGTTGTCTGCTCCAAACAGCAGCTCGTTCCTGTTTCCACTGTAAGAAAATAAACACAGGAAAGCTTCAACCGTAGTTAAATCTCTTTTGTTTGATAGAAATTTTTAATTCATCATTGATACCTCTGATTTTCTGCCATGACCACAGTTGGATCAGTCAGTTCTTCTCCAACACCTGACAATGACAGACAGAAACATTGTTCATTTTCACATTATTCAACTGCAGATGCAAACTACCAGGGGTAGACATACCCTGGAGATCCAGGACGAGCAACTCTCTGTTAGAGAACTGGTAGGTCCAGTGCGAGAAGGCCAGCAGTGTTTCCTCCAGGGTACAGCAGGGGTCGATCTCTTCTCCAGTATTATTATTGTACTTTCTGAAGTGACCAGTCATGTTCCTCTCAATGGTAAACCACTGACCGCTTGAGTGCCATTGGATCAGAGAGACATCTAGAAACCTGGTGGTGGATGGAGGAGAACACAACTGAGTGTGAATGTGTGAACACACACACACACACACACACACAGATAATACAGTAAAACAAATCTCAGAGAGACCTGGGTGTGTGTTGAACCTCGTTAGGTTTGATTTGGTTAAAGATGTTCATCAGTCTCTGAGCAGCTCTCTGCTGCTGGATCTCCTGCACAGAGAACAGTCAAAAATAACTTCTGTCACAATTACATTTGTGATCATGACTCAACTTTCAAAGTTATTGTAAATGGTTTAAAATGTTTATTTTGATGCGTTTTCAACTGTTCACACCTTAAATTATGTGATCACAAGTGGACCTTAAAAATATTTGTATCATTATTATGAATAGGTTCTAATGTTACATCTTGACAAAAGTGAACTACTGTTTATAACCTGTGTGGGCTGTAATAAAAAATAAACCCTGTAATAATGTGGTTAAACCTTTGTATCCAAGTTAAAAAACCTTGGACCAACCAAAAACAAAAGATCCGACGGGAGCATGTAGAACTGTGTGCTGTGAAGAAATAAGGCAAATAAGGCACAGAATCAAAAGAATCCAGAAAATGGAAATAAATGTCGAGTGCAAATTATTTTGGCACCAAATTGTCCAGTAAACTTGAGATGCAATGACACAGTAACGACTAGCGATTGTGCCCGATGAGACTGGTGGAATGACTGTGAAAAGAATAGACAAAATAAACACTGATGTTATGGTTGTGCAAGGAACAGGCACGCCAAACTATATCTGGTCATTAGATTTGAACACTGGTCCACCTTTGAGTGTCCAAACAACACTGCTTAGCAAAATAACATATTTGTTAAAAATGCCAGACCAAATTCAACAAGTCGATAAACTGCATCTAACTTTGCGTTTAAAGAACACTCCAGGGCAAGACGTTGATTTTGATAAGGTGCACAAACTGAAATCTCAACAAATTCTAATACAAGACATAATAACAGATAAAGAGAGCACAGCTGTCGCTACTGCCAAGGTTTCAGAAGAAGCAGAGAGATTACATGCAGCAAGTACGGTGATCCATTTTTTATTAGCAAAACAAAAAGGAATGTCATGGCATCGACTGGGTGTAATATCTACCGTAGCTGCATACAGCCTTGACTGTGAATGGCAATCAGATAACACCGACTACGTACAGCCATTCACTGAACTTTCCACTGAAAATGTCCAAATTCTACTGAGAAAAGAAGAAGATAACCTCTTAGCAGAGATATCGACAACATTATGGTCACAAGGCAATGCAGATGTAGTACAATTACTAACGTGCAAGCCAATAGACAAAGCATTAGACAATATCTAATCAAATTAGACACACAGTTCACAGTTATATCTGCTGAGCTAGTTTTGCTACATCCAAAATTATCTTTGGGTCCAAAATTTAGCCATCAATTTATTTAAGGTTTTTCCTAACTTTTAGACATTTTCTAAGTAATATTGTCTGTTTAGTATGAATATTTGCCTTTATAGGATATATATATATGGTTTTCCTTAAAAAAAAATTATTATATTTTCTATATTTTTTAGTTTTAAGTTACTTTTGTATTGCTTTGCTTATTTGGTTCTATGTTTCTGAAACTATTTTTTTTTCTATTTCTACTACTGTACTGTACTAGGTTCTTATTGGACAGCCCAGTTGTCAATCACAAATAGTGCCATGCTGCTACATAGAACACACATGCCTTACAAATAATCCCTGTCACTGTTTCAATATCACTTCAATGACAAGTGTAGATATGTTCCATGTACTGTATGTACTGTTTCACAAAAAGAGGGGTGAGAGACATATATTGATGTATGTAAGGGTAACACATGATTGTTGTAGTATATGTCAACTCTACTGCATTCACAATGTCATAAGGGCATCAACAGGAAAAGAAAGTAAAGAGGAAGTGAGAGAAAGTGATGTAAGGGTTAGATCAGACAGTCAATAAAATATATATATCACCTGAAGGTAAACCAATTTTACCAAAATCATTGTATAAATGGGCTGCAATATTGAGCCATGGGCCTTGCCATGTCTCAACAGGAGGGATGGTGAATACTATAAACAAAGTATTCACCACCTATGGATTTAATAATTACTAAAAAAATGTTTTTGTGCAGCATGTCTAACATGTGCTAAACATAATTCACAAGGAAACATCCGACCAAAAAGAGTTAAGTTCCCAAAACCTAATTACCCGTTCCAGGTGCTACATATGGATTTCATTGAACTCAATAAAAGTGAAGGAAAAAAATATTGTCTAGTCATAGTGGATGCCTTTTCTAAATGGGTAGAATTGTTCCCATCAAAAGCTGCTGATGC